ACTAAACCTCATTTATACCAGTTTTTGTCTTTCTTTTTCATAGAGTGAAATTGGTTTAATGTTTCAAATTTTTTCAATAGATCCAGGCACTGCTACCAGAGAAAAAATACCCTCTCTTCAGATGCTGCTACCTTCCCTAGCTCAGCTGAAATAGTTGTTGCTGGTGCAGGGGTAATTGGATCATCTGTGGCATATCATCTAGCAAAGTATGGGAAGAAAGATGTTGTTGTCCTTGAGCAAGGAAGGTTTGTCACTTTTTCAACTAAGCAACACATAATCCTTTGTTAGTAATTAAATGTATCAATGTAGGTTGGTCTTGGTTTCTTGGTGCTAAATGAATTACTCCCAAACAGAAGAATGGTGTTTTCGCTGTGTGGTAGGTGGAACATCAAATTTCTTTATGGTTAATCCTTCAGGCACATTAAACTAATTATAAAAGCTTTGTATTATTGCAGCCACCGGATTCCCTTGGATTTGTTGAGAATTATTTACCTTGAAATTTTGTATTGATGAAATTTACAGTCTCAAAAGTGTTTACATTGCTTTTATATAGTCTTTTTTTTAATTTATCAAAACATTTTGCTTTTGAAAAGCCTTGGGTGTGGTACAACTTGGCATGCTGTTGGGCTCCTTGGGCTCCTACATGCCAGCACATTGCGTTACAAAATGTCTGCTTATAGCTTGGATTTATACTCTGAATTGGAAAAAGAAACAGGCCTTGGAACAGGTATTTTACCATTTGCAACAAAACTATATTCAAAGTTTAATTCTCTTTAAAAATTTTCCTTTGTTCTTTAGGATCCACCTTCCTTCTCAATGAGGAGTGTAGGAGCCTTTAGATCTGCAGATTGTGGGCGATTTGTATGCAGATTAGGGATTTCTGATTGTTTTAGTACAGATTTGCAGATCCAGAGATTCTTACCGGTATCAGATTTTGTCGACAATGTAGAGAGCATTCTAGATTTTTAGTGAAAAAAACCAGCTGATGCTGGATCTAAAAGATGGCACATGTTTAAAAAAATGTGACCCATAATTATGCACGTGTTTAAAAAAACGTGACCCATAATTCCGCAAAAATTATAAGAACTATATACCCATAATTCCTTGCAACAAACAACATTTTTAAAGCACAACAAAATCATCAAACAAATTTGACATGTCCTTTGCCCCAAAATATCAATATTACACACATTTCATTTCTAGCTGAGATCAAAATCTGATACCGATAATTCCACGCTTTTCAGAAAAAAGGTACCTTCAAACATGTTAAGGTACCCCCCCCCCGAGTCAGTTAACGAGGTTGTAATCGTTTTAGATGCATTTTCCAACCATCCCAATTATTGCAAAATCTTTTCTGTCATCAGTCATGGTTGTGTCCTTCATTAAAACGATGTTTAATCTTATCTTCCTCCATCCCTACCCTGAACTACACCTCAATAATACCATCCCTGATTAATATCGCTATTTACTGTATTCTGACTTGTATTACGAGTAAAATTTTTTAGGTGCCACAGCTGTTTGATAATTAAAGCTTATCCCGACTAGCAACTTGTCATTCTTTGATAGGGGTAAAGTTGTGTGGGAGCGTGGCTGTTGCTAAATCCAAAGATAGGGCAAAACTTCTCAGGAGAGTCTTTGACCGAGCAAGGTAGATAAGGACTTTATTGTACCGTAACACTGTTTTGCAATCTGATTCAAAACGATGGAAAATAAAAACACGTAAAGTTCACCAAACTACCAAATGCAAGAAACCTATTTCCTACAAACAATGTTTTCCTCAGCTAATACAAAGCCTTGGAGGACCTGTAGCAAAGTATATTCACCTAAAGCTAAGCCAGAAGAAGCCTCCACTTCAATTTTTTCTTGAAGATTTGATCGAGGTCGCAATCAGTCTCTAGCCATCTGGCTTTTTCTTGATACATATTGCTTATCTTCAAACAAGGGACAAGATTATAGAGTGTAACCTAAGATTCTTTAGATGTAGAATATAGTATTTGTTTTTGTTTTGTAGCCTGTATTGATTACCATAACTTCTTTTTAAGGCAGAACGGTGTTGAATGCGAGATGATATCGCCTCGAGAAGCGCTGGAACTGTACCCTTTGCTCAAAATCGATGATCTAGAGGTACCACACGACTCTTATCCCTAGGAAGAGGGGGGCATTCTCATACTCAACCTGACTGGATGTGCGACGGAATAGGGAACCTTTTCCGATAAAATTATGGGACAGGGGGTATCATGAATTGTATCAACTTCCGGGACAGGGTATAAACAAGAAAATCTATAAACAAGAAATATATGAGAACAGCTTACTCTGCTCTTTAGATTTTTCTTATGAAGATCACGTTCCGGTTACATTTGCTTAGCAGCAAATATTTTTGGGTAAGGTTTTTTGGCATGAGTGGTGACATGTTTTTGGCAAAGTTTTCATGAGATAGGGTGTGTTTTTTGGCATATTTTTTATGGGATAGGGTAAGGGTGCAAAAAGGTTTTCTGCACTCCCTAGCCACTTTCCTAGTCAAATAACCCCCTTGCTCTTATCCCAAATGATATTTTACAATATAAATACACTATCTGATGTACTGATATTATCTCTCATATTTAAATATTTGCAAAAGCATAAAATGTTTCAAGGTATGCGAAATTCAATGTTTTTTCATGTCTTTGTGACCGAAGCTTCGTTTTTCCTTTCAATTGCTCTTCATGAATCCAGTTCAAAATTATAGGCCATGCAATATGACCATTCCCAAGCAGGATCTGATCACAAGTAAATGTCTGGTCACATTGATTTTAATAATTGAATTATTTTATTCTCTAGCATTTTCAACTCAAGTATGATGAAATTCATAAACGTTTATATAATTCCACAGCTAGCAGTTTGGTCACCCAACGAAGGAGCCTGCAATGCAAGCGATGCATGTGCGTCTTTGATGAGAGGGGCCACTAACAAAGGTTTGCATCTTTATATCACATCGACCTTTGAAAATTTTGATATAGAATATCTCTGACATGTTTCACTGTTGCTTTCCGTTCCATAGCTTTCAGTTTTACAGAGACAGGAATTGCTACAATCACTGCCAAAATTACTTGGAACATCCAACACTTTGCCCTGTACTTTGCTAATATTCAATTGTTCTCCCGAATACTACTACTTCAAGCCCCATTTCCTTCCAAAACAATGTTGAAGGTTCAGAAAAATGTTATAAAGGCCACAAGAAAAAGCGTATTTCATAACTTCTTTCTTGGTTCTATAGTAAATCAACATTGTTCCTAGGGGGAGAGGGGGTTGGCTAAATTTGGCTATATTGTTGTTTTGGTATCTTGTTGGTATCTGAACTGATGGTTTGTACCCCAAGAACTAACAAAAAGATTAAAAGTTGTACTTTTACTTTTAAGTTATAGTCCACACGTGTGTTCTTAAAGGCGGTTGCATGAAAAATAAAAAACTTTCAATTCGGGTTTGAAAACATTCATTCAGTGGTTCATATTTTGTTAACCAATTTACAAAGATTATGACACTTGTAGTAAGATGCTTTCTACAATTTCACATTCCAAGCACTAACTAAATTTTTGCTAAAAGAAGTTTCATACGCAATGAACTGTCTTTAGCGCAACCTTCCACTAGCCAACACTATGAAACAACAAACTCTTTCTACAATTTCTGAAAAAGGGGCACCTCTTTACAACAAACTATATCCTTGTTCCTTCAAGTATAGTACACCTATTTGATGTAATTATGCCAATTGCAAATAGTCCTTTATTTGATGTAATTACACTACATTTGATAGAGTTTTTTATTTGCTTATAATTGAAAAATCCCCCTTTTTAGGTGTACGATTCATTCAAGGCGTTGGTGTGAAAAATGTGGCCACTGATGGAAAACGTGTTACTGGGGTTGATACAGATCATGGTTTCATACACTGTGATAAATTTGTTAACTGTGCAGGGCAGGTGAGAAAAGCAATCAAAGTCTTCTTTGATGCAATCTGTCAGGCCTAACAAAAATGGAATACGATTAGAGGAATATAAAGCTACGTAACAATAACATTCCAGCCAAATTTGGGGCTTCAATCCCGTTGCACGTAATGTCGTTGTTGGCATCGATGGCAACATGTGATTTGCCTAAAGATCATTCGTTTCTTCAAATTCTTTAAGTGGCTAAGGTTATCGAGGACCACATTTCCGTTTTCATACGTGAGATTTCTTTTTCCAAACAAAGATACCACAATTATTAGCGTGGAAGTAAAATTCGTCTTACCTAAGTTCGTTCAACTTCTAAATGTAGATCAGCAATTTTTCATTGTTTCAGGCGTTAGAGATTGAAAATATAATTAATATACTTTGACAATTCTTTTTATTTGACAGTGGGCAAGAGAACTTGGACTGGTGAGTGTTTCATGTAAAAACTTTTAATGTTGCCATTTCACATTTTAACGTTGCTTAGCATTTAACGTACAGTAGAAACTCGCATAAAAGAACCTGTTTTTATAAGAACCTTGAGACTGCAATTTAAGAACTCCCAAGAAGCTGGAATTTAAAAAAGGTTCTTCTCTATATATAAGAAAAAGGGTTTTTAGAATGGTTCTTTACAACCTAATCACAGTGGCAAATTAATCCAGCTTAGAGTAAATCAGGTTATGGATTGTGGCATTCTAATTGGACGACCTAACAGCACATATTCATTTGATTAGTTGAAATTTGATATGAAGATCAAAGCTGGTTTAAGTGTGTCCGTTAGAATTCTTGCTGTAGAAAACATTGTTAATGTGTGCAAGCCTGTGCGTATAAGAGAACCTTGCTAAGAACCTTTTATACTGGAATCTAGAATAGCAGCCTGTTATTTAAGAACCTATTCAGACTGCCAGAAAAAACCTAGGTTCTTCTATGCGGGTTTCTACTGTATGTCTTACATAAACCTAGCTTCGTCCTCGCGTAGAGTTTTTGATCTATGTTTTGATCTATGTTTTATACTCGAAAAGAAAGATTCAATAGCAATATGATTCGAAGTGTTCTCTTCAAAGCCCTTTTTAAATTCTCTACCACGAAAAGATTGATCTCAATATACCAATTCTTATTATAGCTATGAAATCTTCCTGATTCTAGCGTTCCGACACTCCGGTACATTTGCCCCTACACTCCTGCGAACATTTCTACACTGTTACCAAACCAATGTCTGGTGTCCATAGCATGCTTCCAGTTCTGAGAGACGGCGACTCCTACATTTACATAAGAGAATGGAGCGGGGGACTAATGGCAGGAGGTTTTGAGCCCCAAGGAAAGCCTTGCTTCTATGAAAAGGGTGTGCCTAATAAATTTGAGTTCCAGTTGCTACCAGAAGACTGGGATCATTTTGGTAAGTCTCCGTTGAATCTTTCGTTATGAACGATTTCTATTAATGAACCTTTAAATTTTCGATATTTTAAAATGCGTGAACGGTGATCAGACTATTTTCAGAACTAAATGATTGAACTGTCTAAACTTCCTTTGTGAAATCTAACTGTAGCTTAGAAAAATCATTGCTTCGTACAGACTCGACCGTGTAGGCTAAGAACATTATTCCGTCATTTCTGAAAAAGGAGACGTAATCGGGTCTTTACGTGTTTCTTGGTCTTTTAAAAGCGAGGCAGCCCTCCGTCCTGAAGTCAATACGCATGTGCATGGAAAAAGTTATTATTACGCATGCTCTTGATTGATTGACTGTTTGATCTTTGACGGGGGGGTTGCATGAAGATTTTGATTTGTTATCCATACTGCTTTTCTATATCAACGTCAGCAACAATAGAGATATGAAACTGTGTTTCTGCCCTTCATTTTTGTGCTATATTCAGAGTTGCTACCTCCCGTTCTTTGCTATGTACCATGTTTTGTCAACGTGTCAATATCCGTTAATTGTCTGCTTATCTACGCTAGATATTCTCATGCAAGGCATGATACACCGAATTCCGTCGATTGCAAATGCTGAGATTCGTCAATTCGTCAATGGTCCTGAGTCTTTTACAGAGGACGGTGGTTTTCTTCTTGGTGAAGTCCCGGAGGTGAATAATTTGGGCCGTGCATAATATTTTTTCATTAACCAATGCTTTCTATGCCCCCCCCCCCCGGTCAGTGTTTTCTTAAAGTTCTCACTGATAGCGTTTGTTCATTGCGCTTGCTTCAAATCTGATAAATTCAACCAAAGAGCTGATCTTTAACGATGTCTGTTTATTGGACAAAATTCAAAATTTGACAGCAACAGCTATAGTCAGCCATAGAGTATGCCTTGTTGACAGAGCCGCGGAGAGGTTTTATGGGCCCCGGGTCAGGACGGAAGATAAATGGTAAAACGTGTCTAAGGCATATGTTTCTAGGGGCATGGGGAATGCTCCCCTAGGTTGAAAATGATGGTTGCTTAAATCGCCATGGTGGCTATTTTGGTTGCTAAAATTACCATGGCGGCTATTTTGGTTCCTGAAATTACCATGGCGGCCATTTTGGTTGCTAAAATTGCTATGGTGACTAAACTGCTCTGGTGGCAGTGGCGTAAAGGGGTTAGAGGGGGCAAAAAACCCCCTGTAGAGCTAAACTGCTATTTTTCCGGAAATCCTCCTGCATTGTCGGAAATTAAAAATGGTTGTCTATGTTTCTTCAATTGCTATGTTTTGATAGGAAAGAATTTAAAGTTGAATAAACATATGGATATCTGAATATATCAAAAAATTTATTTATTTCTGTTCCAATGTTGTTATGTTATGTTAAAATTTGGGAAAATAGTATTAATGCTTGTTAAATTTTTGTCGAAAAATCTAAGTTTCTCACCCTTCCTATTAATTTTCCTATCTTGGCCATTGTCTGGTGGCTTTTACTTCTGTTTTTATTTCATATAATTTAAGCATAACTGATATTTAAACACCATAATGCATAAAAATGAAAATTTCTTAGAAAATTTTTAAAGTCTAAGAAAATAGAAAATGATTAATTTGTTAACTAATTTATCACTACCGACACACTGTTGCAAATAGATGCGCATGCAATAGTGTATATCTGTATAGCATGCATGTTGCTGTATGTTGTCTGTTGCAATCACATTTTTTGGCAACATTCAGATTTGGCAACTTCTTTAGCTCAGGCTCACAAAGACGAGAAATGGCTCCACCTTAATTCATTCATAGACTTTTGCATTATTGTCTTTTTTTCATGACAGTTTGTGGTAATGGAGAGGCTGGATTATTGCTCAGAAATTTTTCAAATTGAATTATTATTTATGGGCCCCTATAGCCAAGGGCCCCCGGGTCAGTGACCCCCCTGACCCCCCTCTCCTCAGCACTGTTTGTTGATGTTACTTTGTGTGTCATTCTTGATCTTAGCAACTTATTTTAATGGTTATGTGATAGACGTGATTACAGTAATTAGAATAATATCACTTTGGACAGGTTGCCTTTTCCTGTGTTAGAAATAAGTTTATATGTTTCAGTTTTATCATTTCATAAGCAACCATACATCAACTAAAAGCAAGACATTGTTTGAAGGGAGATATTCTCTAAATGGTCATATTTTACAACACTAAGGTGAAGTATCTTTAAAATGGCGACAGTCAAATGGCGAAAGTCAGTGCATTATTTTTGTTAATTGTAAAACTGTGTGAAAATGGTTTTATTCACGATGTCGAGACATTTTCCCATCCTGTAATTGTTGCTGTTGCTACTTTTATTAGTGAAGTCCCTAGTTTACCTCGGTTCTTCGCCATTATGACGTCACATCATTGAAAGGAAAAGAACTTCACTTTTGGCTAGATGCTAGGGGTGTAACCCCTTAAGAAACCGTTCATTGAGACTCTAAAAAACCGCAAAATTCACAATACAAGCCCAAACGTCGCCAAAATCTGTTAACTGAGGCAATGTTAAAAATAAAAAACCGAGCGATTTCTAGGGAAAAATCGAAAAATGAATCGAAGTATTAACAAACCGCATGACTGTAGAACACAACCCCCCCCCCCCTCTCCTCCTCCTTAGGCATTCGATGGGTGTGAATAATTTCATTGCTGTTTTGATTAGATAAGACCAGCCTCCAATCGGATTTGTTTTTTGGACAACTCGTGTGCATTTATTTCCTTTGTCTTCGCAGATCCATAACTATTTCGTTGCTGCAGGCATGAATTCTTATGGTATTGCGTCTGGTCCAGCTATGGGAAAGTTGACTGCTGAACTAATTGCTTATGGCAAGAGCTCTTGGGATATAACAAGCTTTGATGTTAAAAGATTCAGTAAAGAACAAAGCAACAAGTTTTACTTAAGAAACCGAATTGGAAACGTTTTAGGTCGAAGTTATGCCATACAGTATCCTGAAACCCAAATTTCAGCTGGTGGACCTTTGAAAACCTCGCCCCTATATGATGTTCTTTCCCAAAATGGTTGTCAGTGGAACAAAATTGGTGGTTGGGAGAGAGCCAGCTGGTTCTCACCAGATGGCAAAGGTACTTCATTTACCTCGTTGTTTCTTCTATTTTATCAAAAGGTAACTTTGCAGAATCAACTGATAGCTAGACGTGCAATTCTCGATAAAAGAGTGTCAAGTGAAAATATTCACCTTTTTTTATGTTGCAGACAAATGTTTTTCTTTTTCGAATGACCTTGTCTCTGAGGAAATTCTTCGTTAAATTTTAACTGATCAAGTATTAATGATTAGTTGACTGGTTCGAAAAAGATGTGGTCTTGGCACGCCGAAATTGTAGTTTTATCCACTTTGCAAATGCCCTCTACAAACCTGTTTAAAGGCGACCGCAAAGAATAAAGAAAGGCCTGTAGGTTGTGCCTGAATCTGTATGGATCAATGTGACCCCCTACATCATAATAGGAACTTATGTTTAATGCATATTACACGTATAGGATTGGAAGACTGTAGAAGATATTATATTCCTGTAGGCTTTGATATTTTAATAATGGTGCTGATGCCTGCTTGTTTAAGAAAATATGAATGAATGGAAAGATTAGTTGATCATTGTCGTCTTTGGTATCCCAGATGGATGGACCCTTTGAATTTGCTATTTTGATGATTTGCAAAGTTATTTCCGTGTAAAAAAGCTGTTTTTTAAACAAATTTTTAGCTTTGTGATCGATTACTTAACAAATTAGTATGCTTCGATCGGGGTCTTGTTATCAGGCTATATGCTTCGGTGATGTCTTAGCTTTTCAATCCATTCAGATCCTATTCCAACGTTTGGGAAGCCTAACTGGATAGAATGGGTTGGAGAAGAGTACAAGGCTTGCAAGGAAAGTGTTGGGCTTGCTGACATGACATGGCAGAGTAAGATCGAAATTAGCGTAAGTGAACACAAGAATTTTCATTGCTTTGCATTATGCTGTGATATTTCAATATTTTTGGTTTCGCTTTTTAATTTATGTGGTTATCATTTTACACTTTGGTTAGGTTGGACTTTCGTAAGAAGGATATTTGTATTTATGTAAAGCTTCTGAATAGAAATTTATGTTTTGCTGAATTCCTGGCATAGATGTTTCAATTTATTACTGAGTATTCAACAACGATACATGATCAATGGGAAAGACTTTTCTGTAGTCTATTCCCTGCTTTCTTTTTTATATATTACTTCTAGAACCTTGTACCTTGTTTAGAAGTGACCGAATATTTAATCAAGTAGAGAAAAGGTCTTGTTTAGGCCTACAATGCTTAGTTTCTGTAGTAAGGTGATGGCGCTATATGAATTATTTTTCGTTGCAAAGTTAGATAGTGACTCTAGAAAAAGTATTCATTAATGCAGCACTTTATAGGTAAGATAGCAGACATTCTTCCATTTGAAGCTCTTGATTAATCGTTGGTTTCATTTAGTCAGATTCAGCGTCACAATTGGTAAGTGAGCTACAGTTCCTTTTTGCTGAAAATATCGATATAAAAACTGGGACTTTCGTAAACGCATCGCTGCTGAATGAGGATGGCAATTATGTTGCAACTGCTATTCTCTATAGGATAGCTGACAACAGGTATGGACATTTGAAGTCTTATTGGGATCGATTTTGTTGAATATGAATTTCACAACGATATCATGATTTCGTCCAATACCTAAAATTCTGCCAGGATATCGAGAAAATGCTTGCATAAGACTATATTTTGCTACAGTTGTCTTGATATGATTACCTGGCCAGCAAAATAAAAAAGTTCCAAGGCGCTCGTAGGAGTTGAAGTCTGAGGACCGTGAAAAAAGTCCTGGGCCGCTATTGAAGTTGAAGCCAGGTGTCCGTTGTGGAAGTCTGGGGCCCGTTAGAAGCTCTGATCTTTAGGCTCTCTTATGGAGCTTGACGCAAAGTTCCCTTGTAAAGTTTTAGGGACCTAAAGAACATTACCAACGATGATATCTCATCGAAATTGAAGTCAGGAATCTCTTGGGCCCCTTAAAAGCTCTGATCTCTCGGCTCCCTTATTAAGCTCGATGCTAGGTTCTCCTGCATAACTAGAAGTGTCGTTTTCTGTAGAGTCCCCTGCGGAATATGGAGCAAAGGGTCCTTTAGAGAAGAATCTGGTCCTATAAGCTCTCATAAGCCAGGGATCCCTATTAGACTGGGATTTTTCAAATAATGGTATGTACGACAGAGTTCACTAAATGTATTTCAGATGATAGGAATTACTCATGGATATGTCTCTTTGGTTTTCCTGTTAAAATTATGCAACAGTGTCGCGAGATTTTTTTAAAGTTCTAACATTGCAAGTAATTTATCTAAATTTTGCATTTAAGCTGTTTCGAAGTGCTTTAGAAAGAATTGGAAGCTAAAGCATTAACATACAATGAATAGACCAGTCTACATATTAAATGCTTAACATCGATAAATCAAGGGGAATTTACAAGTTTACGTTGTAATATTTCAAAATTGTTGATCTTGAAAAGAAGCAAAGTTTCATCGACTGAGATCTGATTTAGATGCAAGTTTGATTTAGAATTGCAAAAACACAGATCACAGCTGTATCTTCATTCTCGCTTCAGATATTTTTGTGTGACGTCACCCATCCAGCAGAACACGCTACTTTGGTGGTTTCACAAAAATTGCAAATCAGCGGATGCAATCAAAATTGATGATGTTTCGTCGAAGTATGCTTGTCTTGGGCTGTTTGGCCCAAAATCAGACGAGCTCATCAAGCAACTCACATTAACGCCTCTTGACGATTTTGCCAAAGGAGAACATCAGGTAACAGCAAAATGAAGTACTGTATATCCAATACCACTTATATGCTATTTAGAGAACTGTTTTTTATAAAACCATGACTCAAAATATTCAAGCACTGATTATGAAGGAGCAACGATTTTGCTCTTCATTTTAACTTCTTTGCCAAGATTCACTCCACAGCTCTCGCCTTATCAATTGAGTTGAAGACTGGAAGGATTTAGTTTTATCTTCCATTTTGATATCTTCCCCTTTGCATTTTGTTGGGTAACTCATATAAGAGTGTTTCGAAAGGGTTGCCTGATTATCACATTAAGCGTGAAACTCAGAGTAGCAACTTAGAACCGTCCTGTTCTATAAACCAATAGCATTAAGCGTGAAACTCAGAGTAGCAACTTAGAGCCGTCCTGTTCTATACGCCAATAGCATTAAGCGTGAAACTCAGAGTAGCAACTTAGAACCGTTCTGTTCTATGCACCAATAGCATTAAGCATGAAACTCGAAGTAGCAACTTAGAACCGTCCTGTTCTATAAACCAATAGCATTCAGCGTGAAATTTCGGAGTAGCAACTTAGAACCGTCCTGTTCTTTATAGCAAGTGGCATAAGAGTAGCTCATACACATCCTTGATAAAGCAAAATGCAAAATACCCTTTTTGATATTGCTTCGATTTCAAACTCATGGTTTAACGATCTTTCATTATAAATTGTTGTTCTCAATTTTAGTATGTCAATCTTGGGAATGCTTCAGATGTTTTGTTATGTAGAGGTTTCCTCGAGGATGAGAATAACTGGCAAGCATTTGTTCCTTCAGAGGTAGGTTATGATGAAGGATGTAATATATCTGTTATTTTTGGCCTAAAATTCAAGAAATCTGTTTGTGGTTTGTAGTTTTATTAAGTAGTAAATGCAAAACTTCGTAGAGCCGTGATTTACCGAGAACTTATTTTGGATTTATTTTCCATTGATTTTGAGGGATTATACGTATAATGGAAGCCCTGTTTTCTGAATTCCTTGATATTTTTGAACTACTGTCTATTGAAGTGAGTAAAAGAAAGATCTTATTTTATTCAGGATGTCGATGAATAAATGGTCAACTTCTCCCGTTACTCTCTTTTTTACAATTTGTACACGGCTGTTTAGACAAATCTCTAAACACGTGCCAGATAGCATAGATCTTCCCCCTGTCAAGAATCTTTCCCACTGCCTATATTTAAGGCTGGTGCCTATGTAATTCAATAGTAGCAATATCAACATTAAACTCGAAAGAGAACGAGGGGGGGGGGTAGAACCTGAATATCCTCTATCTTGTATCTTTTTCTAGTTAAATACCCGCAGGAAATGTTTATTTGCCATCAGACATTATGTTTCTGTTAAGGAATAAGGGGCTGCAAATTGCATAGGGGGAATCATCATCGAGTTTGATTTCTTTGGTAAGATAATGCTTTTTCGATTTTTCTTTTAATGAATGTTATCTCTTGCAGCTTTGCCGTGGCTTGTATAAGAACGTCGTAAAGACTGGTAAAGTAAAGGACGTCGGTCATACGACTATAAACACTTTGCGAATTGAAGCTGGTCTACCAGAGTTCGGTACTGATTTCGGTGCAATGACGTCACCAATGGAAATTGGGAGATTATCTGTTGAAAAGGTTTGTTTGGTCTTTAAAAAAGTTTGTTTTCCGGTATAAAGTCTAAGGAAGTGTGTTCATGTTATATTCAGTACGCGAGGATTTTGACTAATTTATCAAATTGTTGATATGGCCTCTCGTGTGATTGCAGAAAGTCTTGCAATTGTGAATGGTGCTTGTACATTATAGAGATTATGTCTTTTGATACTTTAAATCTTGGAATAGGTACTGGGCTCTACGATACTTCCTTTAGAATATGTTTTTTCGAATCTTTTTTTTGTACCAGTAGCCATAACGATAGATAGGGAAGATTTGATTGACGTCCTGCAAAAATAGGCTCAACTGCTCAAAATTGAAAAAGCGTGTATTGAATAATTCTATTTTAAAAATTATTTGCAACTTTGTTTGCCTGTCATTGTTTTAGGATTGTGATTTCATTGGAAAGAAGGCTTTGCAGAATAAAGACTTTTCGAGTGACAGGTCTCTGTTCAAATTGGTAATTGATGACATTGATGATGACAACTGGGCTTGGGGTGGAGAGCCCGTTGAGGCTGCTGGAGAAAGTATGGGAAATTTATCATCTGTTGCATTCAGCTTTTCCAAGAAGGCTCTGGTAGCATATGCACTCTTTGATAAAGCAAAAATTGATAATGCAGAGAGTTTGGTGGTGCGCATTGCAGGCAGACCAAAAAGCTGCAGAATAATTTCGTAAAGTTGTTATTTAATTGAATCGCAGAAACTGTTAAGAAATTTTTATTTTTAAGAATAAATTTAGAATTTTTTTAAGGTAATTGGAAATTAGATCGAATTTAGTTGCTGATTAGGTTTCAATATGATAATTTATAGTTGTTTGGCCCAGATGTGTATACTGATAATAGCGTTTTACAATAAATTTCTTGAACAAAACAATGTTTGTTAGGTTGACAAAAACTGAACCTGTGTACCAGAATTTCTACGATTCAGTTTCAGAAAAGAAATTTAAATTCAGTCTCAAGAGAACGACAACTTCTTTTTCGCCGCCGCATCGGACTGTAGCGCGCCATTACCGATGTTTGTGGCTACCCAGGGTACAGAGCTCCCACTTGCAACATAGTCTATGTGATTCTGCTTTTATAAACAAGTAGATCACGAGAGACGAACCACTTGCATCGCTGACTGAGTATATTTGATTCTAATTTTGCTGCTCCAAATTTCTCAAAGATCGATTTTTCATACTTTTGTATCCCTTTTGTTTAGGGTTGTGGGTTTTGCTAATTTCTTTGTTCATGTGAAATAATTAATTTTACTATCAAAAGTTTGCTTAAGCATGGTAAATGTCAATCATCATGCTTAAGCATCATCATGTTTTGAATTATTCAAGGTTATCCTAAACCGGGTTTATGAAATTGAAGCTGAGTATGGACGATAAATAAATGCATTTCTATCTGATAGGTAGTTTCCAGTACGCGTAAAATAATTTCAATGCATACATGTCAAAGTTATTAGTGAAGGGGACCTCTGACTTTTTTAAGACAACTTGAAAATAATCGACGACCGCAAACATTAAAACTAATTATCGGCTTGTGAACTTCCATCAACATGGACTTCCAAACGTAAAATTTTCAAAATTGCCCCTTTTGTTTGTCTAAAATACAAAATGGCTCTTTGCTCTAATTGTCTCGTTGCCAAAAAGAGGCTGTTTTCAAAAAGGAAAGTCGCGGGAAGCAAAGCGAAGAATTTTGACGCTCGGAGAAATGTTTCGAAAGTTTTTTGGAAGGACAGTGATTATGCTAGGATCATCTGCAGCTGCAGTCGGTTATCTTGAGGCATCTGGAAATGAATGGTTTTATAAAAACGTTGCGATGCAATGTGTGCGGCAAATGGACGCCGAAAATGCCCATGTTTTTGCAGTCAAGTGCGCCTCTAAAGGTTTTGTACCACGAGGAAAGGACAGGCCAAGTGACATTCCGCTAATGGTAAGAAGAGCATTGCGACATTTAAAAAATGAAGTCATGTAAGCCTTTGGTTCGATTTACAAGAAAATAAGAAGCAGTATCACTTTATGAATGCCGTTCTGTGTTTGATGTTTAATTTATAACACTTTCTGAAAAATATGGGTACCCTGAAACCCGGAGGAGACTAATGGTTCGGCTTGGACTGGGTTCCAATCACTTAGTTTTCAATTTTGTCTCTTTTGTAGACCTCCCAATCTGGCCACTACTTTAATGTTCACATGAACTAGGAAAAGTCTTGCAAAGTTTTAAAATAACCTTTTTAGTGCAAGGAGAATAGTAAATTTTTTTACATGAGATAAGGAACCAAAATACAATGGCAAATGGAAATAAATGAAGAAAATCAGAAATGAGAACTGAAAATAAGAATATAAACAGAAGAACTATATCAACAAAAAATAAAAGATTAAGCAACTTTGCAAAGTTGGTAAATTCTTCTGTTAAATTTGATCGTGAAAATTTTCTAGAATGAGTGCTAGCTAGAATTAGATGCGAAGATGACTCAGTGGTTAGGATCGTTGGCTACAGACCCAAGGGTCTGTGGTTCGAGTCCTGTTACGACCAAACTTTCCCACTGATTGAGGAGAGTCGCCATGCTTAGGAATCACGAAGTGTTGTGACACCGAGAAGAAGGACCAGAACACTCCTCGATAAGCATAGCTTTACAGTGTCTTGAAAAGTACCTTCTGAAGCCAAGTAAACAAAACTTACAAAAACAACTCTACGAAGGCATCGTTTCTTATATTTTAAAAAAAAATTTTCGATGAATTTTCCTTCAAAAGCTTAAACTCTCTCTTTCAGTAAAGTTTTTGAGAGTTTGTCCGTTAACAAATAAAACCTTGCGAGCCAGGTTTAGGCCCAAGAAAACGAAAGTTCTTTATTTTGCTTTGACAACAAGTTATTCTAGACCACGTACGTACAATGGTTAATAGCTAGCGAATTTTTAAAGAACTGTTATTCGTACAGCGTAATGTACAACGTACAGATATCAATTATATAAATAATATAACAACGATTTACAACAAAATAGCGGCAAAATGGTGAATACCTTATATTGATAATAAAGTGAAGTTTGTTTAGAGAAGAAAGGTGCTACATTAAAAAAATACAAAAAAGATTACTTTTGTATAAAAATCATTGCATAAAAATAAAAAGGAATATAATTTTTGTGTAAGCCAGGAAGTACAGCCTGCTAACTCTGAAACAATGTGCCAATAATGCAAAATACACTTATTAAAAAGAAATATAGAATGATGTAGAAATTTGTAAAAACACGAGTCTCAACATTGGTCAAAACTTAAGGACAAATTAAAAATAAAAAAAGGTACCGTAAAATGTAATTTTGAACAATGTTTAATCTCAAGAACGAGGCGTTTTTCGGTAATCCAGGGGCGCTTTGCCATCCAGGGGCGCTTTTCGGTAAATTTTCAAACTTGACGGTAAAAGTCTAACTGACTTTGTTGGCAAACGAGCATCCGTGCCCTGAACACCTCCTTAGAGCGCAATAGTAAGCAATTGCACTGTTTACACTCTAGTAATCTAGTATCAAATTAAGAACAACCCAGCCTCAAATTTTCGAAAAATTATGCACAGCCCGCCTGATCTTCAATTTACTGGTTCTTAAGCCTGATTTACACGAGACGAATTTTTTCGTGCGAAGCGAATTTTTCGCCGCGAATGCGCGAAAAATATGCGCAGAAGTGGAGATTAGAAAATTCGCAGCAAATTCGCAGCGAATAATTCGCTGCGAAAAAGTAGAAACCATTCCTACTTTTTCGCTGCGAATTTTTTCGCCTTGTAAAATAAACCAATCAGAACAGCAATTGAAGACATCTGACACGAACCCAAAGGAAGGGCTAGGCCGAATGGTGCTACGCAATGTAAACATATCTAAATCAAAAGTATGCAAAACGACAGAAAACTACGCAATGGTTCAAACAACAACATGGGTGAAGAATGAGTAACCTATGACTAGGCCTAAGCAATGCTGGGAATATCCCGCACCTATAACATAAACAATGGAATGGGACGTTTCTAGCAACAGGCGTCTTTGGTGCAATAAACGATAAAAGCTCCTGATATGTAGTTGGCGACTTTCGAAAGTAATTATTCCTGACAATGTAAGCGTAAGTCACTTACCAAAAGATGAAACTCCCCCTTCTGTAGACGTTCTGAATAAATTTTTCGAACCAAGTACCCCTTTCTTAGCTTTTTTGCTCGCTTTTTTTAATAACAACAATCTTCGAACAGACGCCATTTTCTTTTGCATTATTCGCGGCGAATTCGCAAAAGAAATTCTGCCAGTGGAAATTAAACTTCGAATTCGCAGCGAATTCGCAGGCGAAAAATTCGTGGCGAAAAATTCGCTTCGCGCGAAAAATTCGTCTCGTGTAAATCAGGCTTTATAAATAAAGAGTGTATACTAGATGCGATCGATAGCTTTTGAGTATCGAGTTCACTTTACTCTCATCAAATCATTCACCAGAGGAGAGGACCAAACATGTCTAGCATACGCTAGAAGATCACCAGTAGAACCCGCTTAGCGAGAACGATTCTTGGAAAAGATTGCGATTGGACGATAGCTGGAGGGTTCAGATGTCCCCCTTATAAGGAACACGGGCTTGTTACTGGAAATACATCTAAAAACTGTTGCGAGTTCTAACTTCTAAGGACAATTACTGGTTTACCACAAGGAACTGTAGATCTAGAGGTGTTTAGTAGGAGAAGAGCTTTGCAAACTTTTCGGGTGGAAAACTTGATTGGTCACTTTGATAGAGAAATAGAGAGTAATGACAAGGTTATAAGCCTTGATCATTAGGATTTAGAAATGGTGGCAAAGGTTAATGCGAAGAGGTTGGGCCTTTATGATTAATTGCTGGAAGAGGATTCATTTTCCATTCTCAAACGAGAAAAGGATGATCTGCAAAGGCATAGAAGGAAGAGAAGATGCAGCGGCGGAAATTATGGGGGTATGGGGGGCTCGAGCCCCCCCAATCGGCGATGTCGCCGGAAAATTCGGGCTTTCGTAGCGAGCCGAAATTACTCCAAGAAATCGTTCTGAAATGTATTTCAAGCTAATCTTAAAAGCGTAATTGTCAAATTTTCTGCTCGCTTCGCTCGCAGGTGATCCGCATTTTCCCTTTTTACCCCAACGGCTTGTATAACCCCTCTGTGCCCTTTTTGCAAAATTTGAACATAGCTTCGCTAATAAAATATTAGCCACTACTTAATAATCAAACAAACAATATTGAACAAAAATTACAGCTACTTTGAATTGTATGTTTAATTTCAATTCCGTAAAGATTAGCCGAAATTACCATCGGATTCTTTCAAGTTATTTTCAAACGTATTTCCCACTGAAGAAAACAAGATAAAATGCAGAAAATGAACGTTACGTTGTTATAATGAACGACTTGTTAAAAGTGTAATCGGTCAACCTCTTGTATCATCAATTGCCTTAGATAAGATATATCGTTCTTGATATCAAAACCATAAATCGAATGGTCAGCAAAGATTTCTAAAGGGTCCCGCCACAAAATGACCTATTTTCATCAAAGTTTGCAGTTTCTTTAAAATTGGACATGATACGAGATGTTATCTTATCGGAAAAATTCTAAGCCTGGGCCACCCCAGATGTAAGCTCGCATTTTCGACATTGAGAAGGTGCAGAAAGAGCTCCTGTCAGCTTTGGTGTAATGGAAAACTTTGTGGTTCACTCTGAAAGTACAATTATGGGGAAAAGAACGTAAATGTTGTGAAGTTATTGGTCTGTGGTCATAGTTGCCAGTAGGTGCATCTATCAGAGGAATTGTGTAAATGTTGGGTTTTGTAGCCTGAAACAGGGCAAGGTTATTCACTTTGTCCCCTGCATGATCAGGAATGCAGGCACGGATATCATCTGGAATGGCAAAGGCCTCTGCATCAAATAATATGTTTGTAGGTATACTATAATTATGTCCAGCTTCTATATTCTTAAAGAAATTTCCCTTTTCTCCTGAATTTTATCCTAAAGTGTTCTTATTTTTCTGAAATCTGAAACTGTTTCAGGAGGATATAGTAACGAGGAATCGGTCCAAAAATCAACCAATTATTCCAATAAGAATGTTCTTAACAGTGCTTGGTAATATTTGTATTTTCGTGCGTACTTAAAGAAATATACATGAAGCAAAGTGAGAACCTGGTGCAAGTGGGTGCAAGCTGCAGCAGCAACAGTCACTCTCAAAATGGCGCACCGACTTTTAACTGGACAAAGATTCATGATTGCTAATGCTAACCCAAGAAATTTCACCATCCATCCGTCATTGCTAGCAGGACTGTGGATACATAGGTTATATACAAATTTATCTGTCTTGGCAGCATAACCGCTAACCGCCATTGCTCATTGCTGCCAATTTTATAGTCATCATTTCTATTGCTCATCCATTGTAAATGCACGAGACCAAAAACCTTCAACAAATGCGTAAATTCGAAATTAAAAATTCACATTGAAATATCACATTTCACAGCAATTCGCTGCATATGATTTAGCATCGAAAAATATAAAGATAGCGCAAAATTTAAGATGGTTAAGTAACAGGATCTACAGATATTTACCTATTTTTATCTATAAACAGTAACTATGTATTACAAAATAAAAGCTGTAGGACAAGTTGAAAAGTCATTAGCGCTATCTAGCCACTTGCCCCTGTTTGATGTGAATTTGCATATATTAAAATATGAATCTGATTTAAAAACTATAAGAAGTCAAAAAAAAAAGATATGTTATTTTATGTAATGTAAAACATTTGAAATTATTTATAATTAATTAAGAGGTGGCTAAATATTGTTTCAACTTAGTACCTTCAAGCATTAGTAGATCTAAAAAGACAGTGTTTACTCACATCTAACCTGGTCTAACTAAATGTGCCATAATTTCGGGGATTTGCAGATCATTATAACATTTTTATTTTATGTTTGAGAAGTTTCTAAATAAAGGATGTGCTTTTCATAATTAAATTTGGAAAGCTGTTAACCTTGTGTCAAGTCAAATCAAGAAGTTTATTATCTGCATTCAATACTTTGTGGCATCCTATAATCTAAGATATAAATAAAGTGGCAATGATACATTGATTGGTAGAAACATGGACTGTTTTGTTTTGCTATTGTCAATTTGCCATTGTTTTCTTCAAATATGAGGGATCTGTGCTCCTACCTTGAAACTGTACATCCTTACAAGAAAATGAACCTAATGAAAAATCACAAAAAATAGCTAGCTTTTTACTGAAAAATTGTTAGTCTGTCACATTCTATATAATAAGTGGAAAGTAGGAATCAAGGTCATTAGAATCAAGCTGAAACAGTGACGTAGATAGAGAGAGGTCAGAGAGGGCAAAAGTCCCCTGTAAAGCTACATCTGCTATTTTGTAAAAGATGCTCCCATAAACATTTTTTTCATTTAAGCATTACTAATATGATAAAATAAAATTTTACTGAATTGAAATACAGTCAAAGCTCAGAAGCTGGATGGGCCTCTTGACAATGATGCAGGACTGGAAACAAACAGAGTTGCCCCCTGGAGCACCTGGGACCTCTATCAATGTCTGATGTACCCAACCTGGCAGTTTTTTCAACAAGCTTCCACACATTCCTGCACATTTTGTTTCAGAACCTCATTTATACTAAACCTCATTTATACTAGTTTTTGTCTTTCTTTTTCATAGAGTGAAATTAGTTTAATGTTTCAAATTTTTTCAATAGATCCAGGCACTGCTACCAGAGAAAAAATACCCTCTCTTCAGATGCTGCTACCTTCCCTAGCTCAGCAGAAATAGTTGTTGCTGGTGCAGGGGTAATTGGATCATCTGTGGCATATCATCTAGCAAAGTATGGGAAGAAAGATGTTGTTGTCCTTGAGCAAGGAAGGTTTGTCACTTTTTCAACCAAGCAACATATCATCCTTTGTTAGTAATTAAATGTGTCAATATAGGTTGGTCTTGGCTTCTTGATGCTAAATGAATTACTCCCAAACAGAAGGATGGGGTTTTCACTGTGTGGCAGGTGGAACATCAAACTTCTTTATGGTTAATCCTTTAGACACATTAACCAAATTATAAAAGCTTTGCATTATTAGAGCCCCAGGATTCCCTTGGATTTGATGAGATTTATTTACCTTGTAATTTTTATATTGATAAAACTTGCTTTAAATTAAGTTAAATTATTTACGTTGCTTTAATTTATTCTCTTTATTTTCTCTTTTGAAAAGCCTTGGGTGTGGTACAACTTGGCATGCTGTTGGGCTCCTTGGGCTCTTACGTGCCAGCACATTGCATTATAAAATGTCTGCTTATAGCTTGGATTTATACTCTGAATTGGAAAAAGAAACAGGCCTTGGAACAGGTATTTTACCATTTGCAACAAAACTATATTCAAAGTTTAATTCTCTTTAAAAAATTTCCTTTGTTCTTTTGGATCCACCTTCCTTCTCAATGAGGGGTATAGGAGCCTTTGGATCTGCAGATTGTGGGCTATTTGTATGCAGATTAGAGATTTCTGATTGTTTTAGTACAGATTTGCAGATCCAGAGATTCTTACCGATATCAGATTTTGTCGACAATGTGGAGAGCATTCTAGATTTTTAGTGAAAAAACCAGCTGATGCTGGATCTAAAAGATGGCACATGTTTAAAAAAATGTGACCCATAATTATGCACGTGTTTAAAAAAATGCGACCCATAATTCCGCAAATATTATGGGTATATACCCATAATTCCTTGCAACAAACAACATTTTTAAAGCAAAACAAAATCATCAAACAAATTTGGCATGTCCTTTGCCCCAAAGTCTCAATATTACACACATTTCATTTCTAGTTGAGATTCAAAAACTGATAATTCCACTATTTTCAGAAAAAAGGTACTTTCAAACATGTTAAGGTACCCCCCCCCTTCCGAGTCAGTTAACGAGGTTGTAATCGTTTTAGATGCATTTTCCAACCATCCCAATTATTGCAAAATCTTTTTTTGTCATCAGTCATGGTTGTGTCCTTCACTAAAACGATGTTTAATCTTATCTTCCCCCATCCCTACACTGAACTACACCTCAATTATGCAATCCCTGATTAATATCGCTTTTAACTCTACTCTGACTTGTATTATGAGTAAATATTTTTTAGGTGCCGAAGCTGCTTGATAATTAAAGCTTATCCTAACTAGCAACTTGTCATTCTTTGATAGGGGTAAAGTTGTGTGGGAGCGTGGCTGTTGCTAAATCCAAAGATAGGGCAAAACTTCTCAGGAGAGTCTTTGACCGAGCAAGGTAGATAAGGACTTTATTGTAGCGTAACATTGTTTTTCAATCTTCTTCAAAGCGAGGGAAAATAAAAACACGTAAAGTTCACCAAACTACCAAATGCAAGAAACCTATTTCCTACAAACAGCGTTTTCCTCAGCTAGCACAAAGCCTTGGAGGACCTGTAGCAAAGTATATTCATCTAAAGCTAAGCCAGAAGAAGCCTCCACTTCAATTTTTTCTTGAAGATTTGATCGAGGTCGCAATCAGTCTCTAGCCATCTGGCTTTTTCTTGATACATATTGCTTATCTTCAAACAAGGGACAAGATTATAGAGTGTAACCTAAGATTCTTTAGATGTAGAATATAGTATTTGTTTTTGTTTTGTAGCCTGTATTGATTTCCATACCTTCTTTTTAAGGCAGAACGGTGTTGAATGCGAGATGATATCGCCCCGAGAAGCGCTGGAACTGTACCCTTTGCTGAAAATCGATGATCTAGAGGTACCACACGACTCTTATTACTGGGAAGAGAGGGGGCACTCTCATCCTTGAACTGAATGGATGTGCGACGGAATAGGGTCGCGAAATTCAATGTTTTTTCATGTCTTGATTACTGAAGCTTCATTTTTCCTTTCAATTGCTCTTCATGAAGCCAATTTTGTAACTACAAACATGGTTAATTTAAGCAAAGAAGTTTTTTCAGCAGCTAAAGAGATTTTATTAAATGTTGTATACAAGTTTTGGCACTGTGAATCCAGTTCAAAATTATAGGCCATGCAATGTGACCAGTCCCAAGCAGGATCTGATCACAAGTAAATGTCTGATCACATTGATTTTAATAATTGAATTGTTTTATTCTCTAACATTTTCAACTCAAGTATGATGAAATTCATAAACGTTTATATAATTCCACAGCTAGCAGTTTGGTCACCCAACGAAGGAGCCTGCAATGCAAGCGATGCATGTGCGTCTTTGATGAGAGGGGCCACTAACAAAGGTTTGCATCTTTATATCATATTGACCTTTGAACATTTTGATATAGGATATCTCTGACATGTTTCACTGTTGCTTTCCGTTCCATAGCTTTCAGTTTTACAGAGACAGGAATTGCAACAATCACTGCCAAAATTACTTGGAACATCCAACACTTTGCCCTGTACTTTGCTAACATTCAATTGTTCTCCCGAATACTACTACTTCAAGCCCCATTCCCTTCAAAAACAATGTTGAAAGTTCAGAAAAATGTTATAAAGGCCACAAGAAAAAGCGTATTTCATAACTTCTTTCTTGGTTCTATAGTTAATCAACATTGTTCCTAGGGGGAGAGGGGGTTGGCTGAATTTGCCTTCAAAAACCGACGTTATTGTTTTCCAAGACTTTTGGCAATAATTGTAGGTTAAGTCGCACACAAGTTCCTTTGCAAGTTCGTAGTAAATCGTTTCTTGAATAGGGTTATCATATCGATATTTTGTTGTTTGGGTATCTTGTTGGTATCTGAACTGATGGTTTGTACCCCAAGAACTAACAAAAAGACCAAAAGTCGGAATTTTTATTTTTAGGTAATAATTCACACGCGTGTTCTTAAAGGCGGTTGCATGAACAAAGAGAAACTACCAATATACTTTCGAAACCTTATGTTCAGTGTTTCATATTTTGTTAACCAATTTACAAAGATTACAACGCTAGTAGTTTGATACATTCTACATAGCCACGTTTATGCGAAGTTCTATACGCAATGAACTGTCTTTAGCGCAACCTTCCATTTGCCAACACTATGAAACAACAAACTCTTTCTACAATTTCTGAAATAGGAGCACCTTTTTACCCTTGACTATATCCTTGTTCCTTCAAGTATAGTCCTTCATTTGATGTAATTACACTACATTTGATAGAGTTTTTTATTTGCTTATAATTGAAAAAATCTTCCTTTTTAGGTGTACGATTCATTCAAGGCGTTGGTGTGAAAAATGTAGCCACTGATGGAAAACGTGTTACTGGGGTTGATACAGATCATGGTTTCATACACTGTGATAAATTTGTTAACTGTGCAGGGCAGGTGAGAAAAGCAATCGAAGTCTTCTTTGATGCAATCTGTTAGGCCCAACTAAAAGGGAATACGATTAGAGGAATATAAAGCTACGTAACAATAATATTCTAGCCAAATTTGTGGCTTCAATCCCGTTGCATGTAATGTCGTTGTTGGCATGGATGGCAACATGTGATTTGCCTAAAGATAATTCGTTTCTTCAAATTCTTTAAGTGGCTAAGGTTATCGAGCTATGTTCAGATAGCACAAGACCTTGAACTGAAGATATTGGTATTTTCTAAAATAAAAATTGTTCAATGATGGCGATTCGGGTGGATTTGGATGATACGTCAGTTTTCACGCAAGGTTGATGATCACATTTCCGTTTTCATACGCCAGATTTCTTTTTCCAAACAAAGATACTACAATTATTAGCTCGGAAGTAGAATTCGTCTTACCTAAGTTCGTTCGACTTCAAAATTTAGATCAGCAATTTTTCATTAAGGCTCAAGAAAACCTGTAACATATGTTTCAGGCGTTAGAGATAAAAAATATATTTAATATTCTTTGACAATTCTTTTTATTTGACAGTGGGCAAGAGAACTTGGACTGGTGAGTGTTTCATGTAAAACTTTTAATGCTGCCATTTCATTATAGCTAGATATTCGGTCTTTTCATCGCTTCGAATGTCCTGATGTTATATGCCTTAGCATTTAACGTACAGTAGGAACCCGCATAAAAGAACCTGTTTTTATAAGAACCTTGAGGCTGCAATTAAATGTTTTAAACCCCATATTTAAGAACCCCCAAGAAACTGAAATTCGAAAGATTTTTCTTTATATATAAGAAAAAGGGTTTTTAGAATGGTTTTTTACACCCTATCCACAGTAGCAAATTAAACCAGCTTAGAGTAAATCAGGTTATATTCATGTTACATTCTAATTGGACGATCGAACAGCACATATTCATTTGATTAATTAAAATTTAATATGAAGATCAAAGCTGGTTTAAGTGTGTCCGTTAGAATTCTTGCTGTAGAAAACATTGTTAATGTGTGCAAGCCTGTGCGTATAAAAGAACCTTGTTAAGAGCCTTTTATACTGGAATTTAGAATTGCAGCCTGTTATTTAAGAACCTATTCAGACTGCCAGAAAAAACCTAGGTTCTTCTATGCGGGTTTCTTCTGTATGTCTTACATAAACCTAGATTCGTCCTAGCGTAGAGTTTTTGAGCTATGTTCTGATCTATGTTTTTTACTCGAAAAGATAGATTAAATAGGAATATGATTCAAAGTGTTCTCTTCATAGCTTCAAATTATAGCTATGAAATTTTCCTGTTCTCTGATTCTAGCGTTCTGACACTCCAGTGCACTTGCCCCTACACTCTTGCGAGCATTTCTACATTGTTACCAAACCAATGCCCGGTGTCCATAGCATGCTTCCAGTCCTGAGAGACGGTGACTCCTACATATACATAAGAGAATGGAGCGGGGGACTAATGGCAGGAGGTTTTGAGCCCCAAGGAAAGCCTTGCTTCTATGAAAAGGGCGTGCCTCATAAATTTGAGTTCCAGTTGCTACCAGA